ACAGTCATCCAATTTTAAAAATCATCTGTGAAATAGCATTAAGTGATACAATACGGGCACAGCACTCAATTTTCCACAAAAATGCATTCTATGTCTATACTTCAAAAAAAATTTAAGTACTCCTTTAAAAATATTCCTAAACCCCGAAGAGCTATGATTTTGGAAGGCTCTTCCTAAAGCTGTGATTTCTGTCTCTGATTTTGCTATTGAAAACAATCTCACATTGCAAGTTACAGACAAATGAAACTAAGTAATATCATAAAAATTACTGAGCATGGCTGCAAAAAAAACAGAGGAAGAGGATAAACTCTATAGACTATCATATCATACAGACATCTGAAGATGCCAAAATCTGTATCATACCACCGGTAAACACAAGCAGGTAAGGGAAGCATGCTACTTTGAATTCAGAAAATGACAAATCTTTCAAGTGAGGGTTTTAGGGAAGAGTTGATATTTGAGGTAGATTTAGAAAAATAGGTAGACTTTGGGATGTGAAAAGGGCATTTAATGCAGAGAGATCGATTTGAAGGAAAGTTCAGAAATCATCAAAAGCAAAGGCGTGTTTGTGAAATGGTAAGTGGTCCTAGTGTTTAGGTTATAAGTTTGGCCATCCTAAGAAACAGTGATGTGACAAGTGCCAAATACTTGGTAACTGCTTTACATCTCTCTAATAGGAAACTCTCAAGTGTAGGAAGTGACAAAGATTTAGCAACTGAAGTGATACAAATAGTGACAGATGCAGACGCCGAACTCAGGGGTCTGAGTCCTAATCATCACAAGAGAGTGAATGAAGGTCGAGTGTTGAACACCAGGTCTGTTCCCAATTGATTGGCAGTTGAGGGATGTTGATGTATTGATTTCAGGTCAGGCACAGGACATGGCTTTGCAGGAACCCTAAAGAGGCATGTGTTAGGAGCGGAATGTGGAATGGGTCAGTTAGGGCATGAGTGAAGTCAAGGGGCCTCTGTGGTGCTTTAAGAGAGGAGGAGGGACATGGTGGAGAGGAATGAAGTGGTGGGAAGAGAGTGAGAACCATCAAAGAGGAACATGGGAAATGCACAAGATGACTGGCGGCTGTGGCGTCCTGTGAACTAGAGAGGCTGTCGGGAAGGCATAGCTTGAAGAAGAGTGAGTTTAGGAGCTTGACGGAGGTAAGTGCTGGTGAAAAGTCAAGGTGAAGATGCCCAGGAAGTGTCTAGAAACAGAAAGGATGCCCCTGAGAATCATAGAGGGCTGCCATGAGGACTGGGCTTGGAGGGAAATGCCCGAGTTTTCTGGTGTGTCTTCATCTTCCTTCACTCTCAAATTCCAACCTGTATCACGCTCACTTCACTAACAGACCCTTTAACTGACCAGCACGTAACTTGTGTGAGTTTAGGACAAGGCATGCTGACCAGAGTCCCTGGGAGAGCTGCTTCTAGGTGCTGACCACCCATCTGTCTTCTCTCTTCTGTAAAGGAGGCATTCTTTCTTCTTTCTGTGGCTCATTCCTGTGGTATGTGTAGGTGTGTATACAACCGGTCAAACCACCCACCTCTGTTGGCTGCAGATTTTCATGAATAAGCTCTTATTTCGTTCTTTCTGGGGTTCCTGTTTCTGAAAACACTTTTTCCTGCGTAGGTGTTACCACTTTGCAAATAGAACTTGTCTCTTTTGACTAGGAAAAGTAACGTTTTAGTCAGGCTCGCCCATGGTCTCAGAAGAGAACGTCATACTTTTTGCATCTGCCGTGGTGGGGATTCCCACAGGCTCTGCCATTGTGAGACTTACAACTATACTTAAAAAAAATCTAAATAGTGCAAAAAAATTTATAAGAAATCATAATGATTACATATATCTTTGGAGATAAGATCTCACAATGTAGCCCAGGCTGGCCTTAAATTCATGATCCCTCCCTCTACCTCCTGAGTACCGAACTTACAATTGTGTGCCTCCATACCCAGAAATAATGCATATTTTACAAGGAAACATAGTCTGTGTTTAACAAACAGAATCTCACTTATCCATTCATTCTGCAAATGCTTAGTATCATCTATTTTAATAACAGTGCAGTCTTGAGTGATGGGGATAATGTATACAAGATGGTCAACACTCTCATCTCCAGCGGCACTTGACTTCCAACATTTAACCAATTTCCTTAGGTGAAATGGCTTATGAAAAGGGAGATAAGAAGGGAAATGTAGCTCAGTGGATAAGCATTTTGGATTATCCTTGGGTTACTGGGTTAGAGGATTAGAATCCCCCAACACACACCACACACACACACACACACACACACACACACACACACACACACACACACACACACTCACTCACATACACACAGTGGTTGGGAGGGTGGTGGAAAATTTGAAATGTGTGCCTCAAAATAAGTTATGTTATCCTGATTTTATTACTAAAATACCAACATTCTGAAATGTAGTTGTTTAAAAAGAAGCTCATTTCTGGTGGGGGAATCTTACCTGTGTGGGGTGACCTTCGTCCATCTAGCTCTTCTCAGACCTCATTGCTGGCTCTAGAAAGTGATGATTTCTTAAAATGGCAACTCATCCTCCCCCTTCAATTTTAGACTTTGCAATCCTTTGTATTAAAAATTAATTCTCCAGCTGTCCTTGCCTTTAATTAAATCTCTAAACATTTTTTGGAGGCATTGGTCTGTTCTGCTCTCCCTGTCTCTACACTACCAACAAATTCCTCCAATTTATATGAATGTACCTTAAAAAAACACCTAAGTAAAATTCTTTAAGTTTTAGGCATTTTTTACTGAAAGTATTGGTGGCAATAATATATCAACATTACTGTACTTGTGTAAGCTATTTTTTGGAATAAATTTAAAAATAATTAGGACATTAGTAATTCTAAGTCAGGATGAAATTGTAGGACCTTGGTAACAGGCAGTTGCTCCCAGGAAGAAGGAACGGTACCTTCCTTCAAGTGGACACCGAGGGTAATGTCTGATGCTACCCAAGGAGACAGAAGAGATGCCTGAGTCCATTGCTGCTAATAACTTGCTCTGGGATCAGGAGAAGAAATCATTTCACTTCCTACTGGTTGGCCTTTCACAGCTGGAACAGGAAGGGTAATGAGGCTTTTGTTTGGATGAGGCAGGGAAGGAAATTCTAGAGCCGTTCACTGTTCTGCAGCAATCCAAACACAAAGCATGATGTGGGCTCAAATGTTCTTAATAAGTCATTCATACTTCATGTACATGTTGCAAGCTTGATGGAGGGAAAGCGAGGGTTACTCAGATAAAAATTGTGAAAAGCAAACAAGAATGAGCTCTGTGGAGGGGGTCAGGGAAGAGTGCAGAACATTGGCTGAGAGAGGATGCAAGTTTAAGTCCCCCAGAGAAAGCAGAAAGAGAACTTGGAGTGGTCTTGATTCTATCATTTTGGTTATGAAGTAACTTTAATTAAATTTGTGCTTTAATTAGATAGTCATAAGATGTTAAATGTCATTGAAACATCTTAATCAAGTTAATGAGGTGAGAAAATAGGGCACAGAATTCTAGCTAGGTCAAACTTATAAGGTCTATTATCAAAACAGAGAAAATGTAATGGTACCCTTTCCAGAACCCAGAGAATCAAGCCATTAAAATCAGGTGCCTTTGAACACAGGTAGAAAATGAGAATCATTCAAATATGCAAAACATAATTAAAGGAACATTTTCCAAGGGAAAATTAATTAAACTGAGTAAACATATGGGTTATCTCATAACTTAAATGTAAAATTACCACTTTGCATATCATGTAGACTCCAAGAGAATAAGAATTCTAGTTTATAAAGGCAGTGTTTTTGTAGCATTGAGGAGATCAATGTATCTAGCATGGAGTCATTGATCCCCAGGAAGTCAATGACAGAAAGAACATAAGAAAATACTCTCAGAAGTATGACAAATCAAAAGTGGGTGTCCTTATCCACTGCACTCTTAGGGCAATGTTGTTTATACCATACATAAAAGAGATAAAAGGTCTGAAATGACGCATTTCATTATCAAGAGTTTTCTTAGCTAGTTATGGCCCAGTGCTTGGGAAGGGGAGACAGGAGGATCAGGAATTTAACACTATCCTTGGCTACCTAATAAGTTTCAAACTAGTCCCATCTACATTGAAACCCTGTCTCAAATTAAAAATACAACAATAAGGATTTTCTTAAATATCAGAATTTGAGTGCCATTCATGTGATTCAACTTAAAATGCCTCCAAACCTTAATTTTCATCTTCTACCCCAGTGGGCATGAAAGAAGGGGTATCTAATTTCTGTGCTATTTTCCGATCACAATAGGGCCATTTGTTAATCCCTAAATGACTACCTCTGATTTTCCATTTGGATAGCCAATTTCCCATTTTTAGCTGTTGGAAAAATTAAGACTCCTCTGGGTACTTGATTTTGCTCTATTGTGCTTTTTCTGGGCTCTCCAGCTTGCTTTTTTTTTTAAAAAAACTTTGCTACTGATCCAAAAAAAACCTATTTCACCTGTGGGAAGAAATGGTGAGATGTACAGCACTTGAGTAACTTACAGTATCTTTTAAAGGAAAAAAATGAATATTTTATATTATTCATTACATTATACATGTAATGTAATAATACATTACAGGTACTTATGGCCATCACACATCTTTTGTGCTTGCTTCTATTCATCAGAGCAGCTGGTAAACTACAGTGGTTTTCACATTATACTAGTCACTCTGGGTCAGTATTTTGTTGTTGTTGATGTTAAAAGAACCTTGCTTTCTTCTGTACATTCATGTCTTTTTTCTGGAAATAGAAACACGGACAAGTAGACAAACATGCTACTGATGTGGAGATAGAGTTGGAAGCATAAGGGTGACCTGTGGGGGATACTTGACAGACATTCAGCAAGTGATTGAAAATGAGGGCCTTCCTTCCTTCCTCCCTCCCTCCCTCCCTCCCTCTCTCCCTCCCCCCCTCCCTCCCTCCCTCCCTCTTTCTCTTTCTTTCTTTTACATCCCAACTGCAGTTTCCCCTCCCTCCTCTCCCCCCAGCTTCCCCAACTCCCCTCTGTCTCTCTAACCCCTACTCCTCTTCCATTTCAACTCAGGAAAGGGCAGGCCTCCTATGGATATCAACCAAACATGGCATATCAAGTTGTATGAAGACTAGACATCTCTCCTCGTATTAAGGGTGGACAAGGCAACTCAGTATGAGGAGTAGGGTCCCAAAATCAGCAGAAGAGTCAGAGATAGCCCCTGTTCCCACTTTTAGGAGACCCACAAGAAGACTAAGTTACACAACTGTAACATATAGAGAGAGAGAGCCTAGGTTGGTCCCATGCAGGCTCCCTGCTTGTCGGTTCAGTCTCTGTGAGCCCCTATGAGCCCAGGTTAGTTGATTCTGTGGGTTTTCTTGTGATGTCCTTGACCCCTCTGGCTCATACAATTCTTCCCCCCTTTCCAGCAGGATTCTCCAAGCTTGGCCTAATGTTTGGTTGTGGGTCTCTGCATCTGTTTCTACCAGTAGCTGGATGAAGCCTTTCTGATGACTATTGGGCTAGGGACCAATCTATGAATATAGCAGAATATCATTAGGCATCATTACAATGACATTTTTTTCCTCCAGTCATGTTTGGTTCCTGTCTCCACCCCCAATCACTGTGCTCTGAAATTTTTTAGTTGGGGTTCTAAGGATGATCTTGCCCTCATGTAGCCAAGCCCTTCACTGACTGAGTTATCTCCTTCTCCCAGTCTTCCAATCTTTAGAACTATTAGGTTCGATTAGATCGAGTATTCAGGAATAGAAAAGATGGAAGTTGCTCGCTCAATCTTTAACTTTTACTTTTGGATGTAAGCACCCTTATACTTCAAAAAAGAATACCAGTGTTAACTCAAAAGGATATAGGGCAAAATTTTGTAATTCCATTTGCTAAGTATATGCAGGATGTATACACCCCAGCACATGTGTGTGTGTCTGGGTGGTTCTCTTTATTTTGAGGGCCCAGGAGGATGAAGGGAGTCTCTGACAGGGTGGGCTACCCCTACTTTGCCAATGAGAAAATTCAGAGAAGGTAAACAAACATCCTGCTGAGCACCATACATCCAACTAAGGTATACACTGGACGTGATTGGATAGAAGCCTCATGCCTTTTCACTTAAACAAGGGGCTTGGATCTTGGACTAGGTATAGACCATGGTACAGACCATGGTACAGGCTATGGTGCAGGCCATGGTACAGGCTATGGTGCAGGCCATGGTACAGGCTATGGTGCAGACCATGGTACAGATTATGGTAAAGGCTATTAAAATCTCAGCACTTCCCTCTTGCATCCTATTTTTTACTAAGAAAATATGTCCAACTGAAATTTTTAGTGAAAAGAAGTATTGAGAAAATGACCCAACAGAATTTTTCATTCTATGGCCCAAATGCTTAGTTTCTGGTTTTTTTTTCATTTTAGTTTATTCTGCACCATTCAGTGATGGAAGCTTCTTCTGGTCTTGGTTCTTTCCTTGTAACTATATCGATCATCGCTGAAGACTACTGAAATATTCAGAGGAAAGTCAGTAGCAGGGGAAAAAGTCATTTATGTATTATAAACATTCAGGAACTTACATTTGCTCCTTACTTAGCAAATAAAATATACTTGTGTTTTTATCTTTTGAAGTGTTCTAAGCACTGAGAATACAGAAATAGGACAAAGTGCTCTGTGCCTTTGGGAAGTGTCTGTGTAATTGGGGGATATGGAGAACAGGAAAGTAAATATGAAAGCTCCTCGATAGTGCAAGTTCTGGGGAAGACATGAAGCAAGAAAAGGAGGTCGGAAGGCCTGGGCATCTAGGTTTAAGGGCAGTTCTTATTTTGTTCAGGTAGTATCTTTTCAGACTAAAGGGGGAGAGAGTAAATTCAGACACCTTTTCTGGAAGAGAGACAGATAGCAGATGCAAAGGGACTGTGGCAAATTCATGCTGATTTCATTTCCCCTAAACCTCATGAATTCTTACCATTATGGTGCTAGAAAGACAAAAGTGAAGAAGGAAATTATCATTTACAAGTGTTTCTGAGTATTTTTTTCCTCAATCTGGACAGATAAGACCACGAACTGAAGGGGTGTCTGGGAGAAAGATGTCTTCAGTGAAAACTAAAAGTTGAATCACTTGTATCAAGAGAGCTACAAACTCTCCTCTAAATCTAAATTCTATTCGAAGTTCTGGGGACCAATTGCCATGTAAGTGAAGAGTGAGGAACGTCACTCTGGTTCATTGTCACTGACTATACAGTCAGACATTTTCTAATTTTCTCTCTTTACATAGATACATCTGTAACCTTAATTCTAACCCTCAAGACTAAATATAGAAACAGAATAATTGATGATCTTTCAATTATACTGATTCTTAGAGTATGAATAAAGGTTTTGAATATTTTAGATGGTTTCACTTAGTCTTAAAGTTTTAATGATAAAGAAACTTATTTTTAGAGTGTTGAGTTGTCTCATGGTCCATAAAGGACCTATGTGGATCACTTCATTCTGCAAACTGAGATTATTAACTCCTGATCTGATTATTGTTAAAGGGAACTAAGCCCGAGGCCTCCCTTCCACGTTAGATGTTTATTTTACTATTCCATTAGAACCTGCTATCAAATTCATCTTCAACTACCAAAGATTTGTTTTCAATTCAGGGAAGTCCTTTGCTCCCATGGTCATAATTTAGTCATGGCAAGAAATTAGATTTTCTCACATTGAACCATCCTTGCATCATGCAAATAAATACTAACAGTTCTGGCTTGGAAATCTCAGGGATTTATGGCAGCTTTAGGAAGTGGTTACTGTTCTTATTAGCTCCATTTTTACATAAAGATATTGAGACTTTCCCAGCAGATAAATGGAATGGCTCCTGTAGAAACCCACCTTGTAACTTCTTTCCTAGCAGCAGGATTTTGCCCCCTCTTCTGGCAACTTTATTCGGGGTACTTTGTATGTGAATTATCTTCTATTTCAGTCGCTCAGGTTTCTGTGCTTGTGTGATGTGAAGGATGAGGAACCTTCACAAGTCCTGGGACTTCACTGGAGTAAGCTGTAAGGTGCCAGCAAAGAGGAAACAGAGACAGGTAAGCCCTCTGCATAGTAGGCTTGTGGTGATTAAAAGGAACATGGTCTGGTAGATTTTTGAGAATTCTTTAGAAACGTTAAGAAAGTGGAAGGCACAAATCAGCCTGCTCTCAGCTAGAAGCAAACAGACTTTGAATGCTAGAGGACCCCTAAGGTAAGGTTTCAAGGGAGCATCACTTCCGACTGCAGTGAATTCTGATCCAGGACTGAATTTCATAAAGAGTTACACAGAGGATCGCATCAGTAGACAGCATGGACAAGTAGCCTGTGCAGATATCAAGATGAGGATAGAAAGGAGTGGGACTTTGAAGGCTGTCTCGGGGATGCTTGAAAGCATTAGTCAAGAATCTTGAGCCTTCGGGGGTTCCTACCGATCTGGTGGTCTCACGAGGAAGGGGGGCACGTGTCTCTCGAGGCTAGGCCCCCGGTGGTCCCCTGGCAATCAGCCTGAGCAATGGTTCCTGGATACATTGTTCCCTAAAGACCAGCCTTCTGTGGATAGTTGGCAGGACTCCTGCTTCTTTCTTCTTTCCTGACAATAACAACCTCCCTGTGCCTGGACTCCCGCAGATGCTCGCTTGACGTACCTGATAACTCCTCAACTGTTACACCAGCACCGCCCCCAGTAATTCAAGCCCTTGGGCAGATAGCACAAAAAAATCCTACTTCAGTGGGGGCACTCATGGATGGATTAGAACAGAAAGAGCTAATGATTCAGGTTCCCACAGATTCTAAGGAAAAAAATGTAAAAGTAAAAAGATTGTTAGGTAACCCTCACTCAGCTCATGCAAACTCACAAGAAAGAGAACGTAGGAAACTTGCAACTCCCACAAGAATGGTTGGAAAGTACATTCAATACCATGTTAATGGGAAATGGTGGACACCCCCTCGTTGGAATCCCAAAAGTAGAAATTACTTAGATCCACCCCCTTTTACAGGGACTTATGACTATGAAGGGAATCGGTTGGGTAAATCATGGGGAAAAAAAATGTTGTGGAATCAGTTGCCTTTTATGGAAAGGCTGGTTAGAAGCAGAAAGGTATGGTGTACATATGATAGGCAGACAAGGTCAGCTATATTGAGGGGTATAGCACCTGTGCTAAAGAGGTGGGCTAAGGCTCTTGGTGAGGACTTTGTAACTGTCTTTAATAAATTACTAGAAATGGATTACCAGTTATTGAGTGCATAATCTGGCTCTTAGGGTTCAGACCACAGCATGTCTCTGTCTGAAAGGATTAATCATTCTGAAAACCACATTGTGTGACCACAAAAGATTGCGTCTATTGCTTTCCTTTTGTCCCTGGGCTTAGGTCCTTGTTAAGATTGTATAAAATCTCAGCCTGATGTTCAGTAAAATTGCAGCAGTTTCACAGCATACTCTGGTGTCTGTGTCTGTCATCGCCGAATCCCAATTATCCTGAGCACCTTCATCCCGTTCTCCCTTGGTCTGGTGGCCTTACTGAGACCCAGTCCGCGGCACTTATATCTTAAATTAACCCATTTCTATTAATCTGTAAGTTGCCACGTGGCTTGTGGCTTACTGGTACTTTATATCTTGGTTCTCATGGTGGTGGCGGCTGGCAGCGTCTCCTGACTCAGCCTTCCACTTCCCAGAATGCTCTTCTCTGCTTGTCCTGCCTATACTTCCTGCCTGGCAACTGGCCAATCAGCATATTATTTATTATCCAATCAGAGCAACACATTCACAGCATAGAGAGCGATATCTACAGCACTTCCCTGTCACAGCTCCACTTATTGAAACTTGGTTTTGCCTGGAATTCTACTTTTTGACATTTTGGGCTTCATTACTATCTACTTAGAGTTCAGACTGTATAGAATGAATAGGCAGGGAAGAAAAGTGGCAAGTTTCTGTATATGATCTCTGCATACCCAACCTTTGGTCTTTAATCCATTGCATATACTGGGCACTGCCTGGCCCTATAGACCCTAGAATTAACCAGGATCACATGAAAGAAGTCAGTTTCATATAAAAGCCAATGATTCAGGTCTACCTTGTTTGGATAGGTGGGATAGGTGCTACTTTTCTATAGTAAATGTTGAGATATCTTATATGGTAGCCTATAACTTGAGCATAGACCTATATAGACCTGTGTCATATTATCAGTGGCGGTGGCATGATGACACAGCTCCACACTGTCATTGGCAACAGTGCCAGGATTTTTTTTGAGACTTCTGTTCAGGTAAACCCAGGATTCTTTGAGTATTAAGGAGATCGTGGTATAGAATTTAAACCAAAGGTGGAGATAAAGAAGTCCTTGGGAATGGTAACGACCGAGTATGAGTATGAGCTTTTAAAGGAGTGCCCACCTTTTTTTTTTTTTAACAGTAGCTGTATATGATCCCATGACTGTTCAAGTTTCATTGCTCAGACAGTATAATTTACAGCAAAGTTTAAAGGTTAACGATTTTCCCACTGCAAGGGAAAAAGTTGTAAGGTGGATTTACAAGGAATATGGTCCAGAATTAGGAGTGAGAAAGAGTGTAAAATCCAAGGTTACAGATAATTGCTATACCACATAAGCACAGTTTCTTTATTGTCTCTGATGTCTCTGTTTGAGATGTCTTTAGGAAACACACTACCTTTGTAGACAACTTTGGCTTTCTCAGTGGTGTTTGATATCTCCTGACTCTTTAAAAAATCTCATCTTCAGGGAAGAGCCTTTTCCCCTTCCTGCTTTCCCATAGTTTTCTACCTTTTTATCTTGCCTTAATAACTTTGGTCCTGGATGGAGACATGCCTGTCTGGAAGATCATTAATAACCATGTAAAAGTCATAAAATCACTATCAAGTCAGAGGCTTTCTGAACACACCATTGCCTTTTTCCCGACGAGCTGTTCCAGTGAGCCTGTTGCAGCACCTGGACAGGAACCATGCTTCAGGAAAAGCTGTCTGTCCCAGAGCCTTTCGAAGTAGTCTGGGTAGGTCTGGGTAGAATATATGTCAGCATGATGGTTTCTCATGCCAACTCTCACCCCTTGAGAGTGTTCTCTTTTGTACTCTGCAATGAATTCCCTGTCTTCTTCACTTTGTTTCGTGTGTCTCCTCTGAATTCTTTCAAGAGAGATCACAAGGGCTGGGGAGTCAAGGGGACCCAGTGTGAGATCTTAATGACATGTGGACTTCGCTCAGGAGCCACAGTATTCTTTTGTAGCTTTTCTCCCCAACATGAACATTATTTGAGGGTCACAGTTACTCTGGCAGGATCCTCTAATCAAGGAAAACAGAAACACTGATCACCATCTTTCTTCAGCCCTGTAGTCCTGGAGGCAGGATAGCAGTGCAGAGTGAGATCTGAAAGGCCTTTCACAACAGCTGCAGAATTAGCATAGGAGACAAAACTTGTGTCAAAGAGGAAGGCTACAGACCCCCCAGTGAGGCTGACTAGAATTGACTGGAGATAGTCTCTTAGGTGCAGAGACACACTGGATTGTCTGAGGCTGACCTGTACCTCATTATCACACTAAAGTTTACTACACCCCTGGGGTAGAGATGGAAGATGCTAATGAGACATGCAATGTGTGAAGTTGTGTGTGGAATTACATGTAACAGAGTGCTTGTGAGAAAGCTTGTGCTATACATATCACCACCAAAGCCTAGAAAGTATGACATGAAAGCTCCCATTTTGAATAGAGTTGTTATTTGAACTTCTGCACATTCTCCCTGCTCTGGCCAGTTCCTCCCCTGGAAGTGTGCATGTCCTTTTCTAATAAACTGACAGTACATTAGATATTGTCCACTTGTCTCTCTCTGTCCAGTTCCTTGTTCTGGAACCTAGGAATCTATAAGACCTCAGGAGGTGCCCACTGAACCCTGACACCTGGCAGTATCAGCCCTGACCCTTTCCAATGATTGCTGTGTGGGTGTGGGTGTGGGTGTGGGTGTCTACCTGTAGCCTTTTGTCTTTCACATTGAGTATTATAGGGCTTTAGTAAACTTTTCTGAGTCATTCCCATAGATAGAAAGAGAAGAGGATAGGAGGAAGTACATCTGGGCTTGGCATTCTGTCCAGTTGATTCCACTTTGATAGACACTCTTAAGACTTTGTGGTATGGGGTTATGACCTTTTTGTACCTCCGACTTTATTTGAAGCCCTGGGAGGAGAAGTATTGTAAAGAGAGGCACCTGTGCCCCTCTCTTTAGCTTTAAGACTGCTTTACAGAATGTGTGTGTTTGTCAGGAGTGTAGGAGCCTGTGTCTTGAAGCTGACCCTGGACATAGAGAAAGCAGTTCTACACACCCCTGCCAAAGGAACACGCTTAGAAGCAAAGGACTCCGCCAGGCCTGGAGTGGAGAATTTGATTTTTTTCCTTTCTTAAAAATGGAGGATCTTTAGACCCCCAAAATATTTATCTAACCAAGAGAGGAGGCAACACAGGGTACAGGTTTCTTCTTCCCAGGAAAGGATTGATTAGCCTCAGAGTCAACATATATTCGTTGTCTCCAGGCTTTCTTCAAATTGTATGCTGACCAGAGGATCACCATGGGAAGGATTAGATGCTTCTTCCTTTAAGTGAAACTATAATAAATTCTTTTTTTAAAAACTGATTTCTGCTTCCCTGTTTCTTATAAAACACAGTGTCACTGGGCAGTGAGGTCACAGACCTGAGAGCCTAGTGTCAGTTTTATGGATTTGGTAACTGCCTTCTATTTCTCTTTGGTCTTTTATCATCTCTTCAGTGGATTTCAGAGAGCAATGTCTTTGAATTTTGAATGTTTTTATATTAAAAATATAATTTGTAAAGTAAATTATAATCCTTATTTTCTTATGTAATTTTAGTTATTTTTAAAGTTAAAACAGCTTTATTCTTTGAATCCCTCCTATCTTTTACATTCAGTTAGCAGTGGACAAAAGTCTGCAATAAGACATATTCAAAGAGATGTCCCTCATGCAAGGTCATTGATTTCCTACTTTTATTTATAATCCTATGATTTATTGAAAATATGCAGCCTTGGTTATACTATTCTTATGAATTTCCT